GCGGCGGGGGGGGGGTTAATGTATTGGAACTGTGAAGGAGATGATTTAATTTACCATTTTAATAGCATATTAAAAAAAAAACTTCCTAAACCTGAATTCCTAAACATATCGCATACTTGATCCATCATGTAAGCTGGTTCACCTTCAGACTTGGTCTCCCTATCAATCAACTGTCACAATCACCTCCCACCCGTCATGCCACGGTTGCTACAGCTCACTCTGCAATCCAACACAAAACCTCCGGGTAAGGAGGTACATGTATCAGAGTCAGCGGTTTTGACAGGCTGTATCGCCATGGGGGGTCTACAGATTGATGGTTCCTTTCCTGGAATTTGGGTCACCTGCCATGTTTATGACCGAAATATGCAGCAACCTTCTCATGTCATTACGACCTGAGCATGAAATTATCCATGATAGATACGGGTTTTTACTTCCTGGACCATCGGGTATTTCTACCCTTTATAGGTCAATCGTTATATTTTACCACATACTGTTATGATTAGGCCCTTAATCCATTAAGATAACGGCTTGGAAACGCCTCTGAAAAAGTATTAACGTACATTATAAAGAAAGTCAAGATATTTATCACTCTCATAATCTTAGAGTACGCCAAGTGAATACATGTATATTAATTTTTTTAGCAAGGATGCAAGTGTGAAACCATGTTTGAAGGAGAAATTGGAGATTTCAGATTTCTCGGAAATATTTTGGGTTTTTGTAAATTTATTGTAAGAACCGAGGAGATTTTCAGCACGAATTTCAATCTTGATGATTTTTATTGCAAGTTTTTGCAGGAGGATAAAGATGAGCAACGGATAACAGCATGTGACTACTAATTTTGACACCAAATGCTATCATACTGAGTTCGATTTTTACTCGAGACAGTGGAATCCCACTTTTGTCTGGAATATGTGTGGGTTTTGTACTTTAATCGGGAATGTGACTAAAACTTCACGGTTGATGGTCACTTAATGTTCCAACTGTCCCCCCTGTCCACCTCTGATACCTTCTGGTCATATTCTGTGACCTTCAAGGTCACCCTATCTCCTGTGACTGACCTTTTGACCTCCTGTTATTCTGCCTGTCAATCTTCAGCAATAACGTGCTGTCACCCTACTCTTCCATCTATGCACAAAAACCTACAGACCTGCGACCTAGAACAATATTTCGTACCTGGAAATAGATTGCTCAAATTCATGAGAGGCTAATACATTAATAAATAACACATTATGTGACACTTTTGCACCAAAAAAATGAAATGTCATATGATGGAAAACTTACTTCCACGTTTCAACATACTTGAGTAACTAACCTCCATTTCTAACATTTATGGTTGAAATAGCCCACAAGAGGTGAACCCAATTAGTTGTACCACCACAAACTACGTATACCAGAATGTAAACAAACATGGCCGACAGTTGTGTTTTCAGCTTTTTAACATGCTCATAAGGCGTCATACTTTGCCACCTCTACTTCCCTTGAATAGCACCAATTTGCGATGGAGTAGAGTTTATTCAGCTTACTATGTAAAAAAAATGACAACATTTTCTATTTTGCATCGTCCTTATGTTACATACTGAAGCTTTAAAACAGTCCAGAGAATATCATATCTAACTCGATAGCAACTACTGCCGGTCGTTCAGCGTTGATATAACCTTCGTTGTAAAATGTACTCTATTTTTCTATCATCTTTTAATCTGCCCTGAAAAGAGAAAAGACATTACGTTCCACACGAAGTCGTTCCATCTTCTAAAAATCGATATGTTGGAGTATAAAGCTAGTGCTTGGGGCTATGAAAAAAGAACACATTTATATTTCATGGATGTAGACTGCCGAATGGAACTAGTTTATGGGACGCACTTCGATAAGGTGGTATTGAAATAAAAGTGTCCGGACGTTGTTTGAAAGACGGATAGATGGAAGAATCAAACAAGCGAAGTTTACTACTGAATCAGATATAGGTAAGAGATAGATTTTGTACACAAACCGACTCCATTTATACCAGGGGATTAGTATGACACATACATGTATGCCCAGTTTATAGCTCAATACGCTAGATATACATATAGTTAATATCCAATGTTCAATTCCAGTACCCGATGCATGTCGGGCAAAGCCCCTGTCACACATTAACGAATATGGCTTCCCGAACACTAGCCAAACGTCCCCCAAGTTCGGCCAGGTCGGTTACTACACATGTTTAACTGCTCCAACCAACCTGACATTGCGATATGTTTAAAACTTTCAGGTGTTAAGATGAGATAGGGGCGTGGTTGGCAGGTGGCATTATGTGTGCTGTAGTAGGTGGGTCGTGATTGGCATTCCAATTTGACTCAAATTTAACTTAAACTAGATTCGATCCATGTAGAAAGATAGTCGTAAACTAAATATGAACATCAGTCGGTTGGTGCATGGGGAAGGTTCTGAATGAAAACCTTCTGTTAATTCACTTAAATTGACATTTCATGCACGTTTGATGCTGTGACTATAAAGATCAGGTTCTTTTGCAGTAAAAGTCTGGAACCAGCTGAATTACTTATATATATACGTTTTCTTTTTAGATTTACTTTAGTATTGGCAGTGACAAAGAAGACACTGATGCCATGTATAATATTTATAAGTTAGTTGAACCTGGGGAAATATCGTAGCTCTTTTCGACAAGCACAACGAACAGTGAACTACGGGTTATAGCCATCCTCAGATGCCCTTTCCAGTAGCGTGCATGTCGAGTGAGTGACAACAGCCGGGATTCAAACTTTCGACCTCTTGGTCCAGAGTAAGAGTACGACCAGACCACGCACGCTTCATACGAACACACCATTAAAACTTCACAATGACGGGTCAAAGGCAGGCCTGATTGCCTGTAAAGCTGAAAGCTCATATAACGTATATAACCAATGCTCCTAACGAAGTAGCACAGACTTGGCCTGGCCTAACAGTAAAGTCAATCGCAAAATCTGTGCGAGGATTGCGTATGATGAAAACTGTGGTCTATCACAGTAAGAAAAGTCAGACCATCGTAACATTCAAACTGCCCTTATATAAACTACCCATAGAATACAAATATTGGCACTGACAGCGCTGGAAGTGTGGTTCTCCTCAGACATGGAAACTCCAGCTTTATGTCCAATCCGAGAGGACGTCCCTAACCAAAGCTGGGGGATCATTTCACCTGACTGGAGATCAAAAGCCACAGAGATAATCTTGCAACCCTATTCATCACACAGGACGTGGGGATTATTACCTGTCTCGCTAAGTACATCTTACAAAGCACCTTCAGGGACTCCGTCCGATGTGATTGAATTTGATTCCTGCCTATTAAGCTTGGGTGCTGCTTCATGTTTTAAGCCAATCAGATTTAAGAAAGGGATTAGTGGGTGGTGCACATAAATGCTGTTAGCCGAATGACGAGCACATTGGCATTACCAAAACGGAGGGTCTTTAAAGCCTCTGTCTCATAATAGTTAAATATGGCCTCCCGATAACTGTCGTGTCGAGATCCCCCCCCCCCCATGGTTGGGAGTAGTTTGGGAGCAAGCTCGGCTGTGGTTGGCTGTTTCTAAGGTAACTAGTGCTGTAGCAGACACCCTGTGCTGTTGAGTCACATTATGTAGCAAGTTGCAGGAAAGTTGGTGATTATAGTCACCATATTCATAAATGTGTTTTAGTCAGAATATTTATTTATATTTATTTATTTATTGTTTTATTTCAGGCTCAATGGCCCATAGCACAGGCACATAACATTACACAACATTACACAGAATAAACTGAGCAGTAGTTCATTAGGCTAGACAATACAATTGCTTTGCAAATATTACATTTCTAGTTCATTTATTTACTAGAAATCTTCTTGGAAGAAGATGGATCCGGATCTGGTTCCGGACTGGAGCCGAGGAGTCCGGATATGGCCGGCGAGCTCCGGCGCTTTTTGATTGAGAACTACGACAGCAGTGTCCGGTCCGTCCGGAACGCCAGACAGGCAACGGAAGTGAAGGTGGACGTGGCCCTGAGGCAGGTTTTACGACTGGTGCGTATCAACAACTTTTAATACATCTAAAATTAATTATTAATACTCAATATGTTATTTGTTTAAAGTTAAAACTTTTGGTCCAACACAAAACTTATCTCACCTACAGCTTTCGACCAGTCACTCTGGTCTTCCTCAGTAGACTGACCCAGTGAAGTTTGTCACGTGGCTTCTTTGAAGTGTGATCATGACGTCAACACTGGGTCAAAGGTATCTGGTAGACGATGTCGGCCCCCGTGCCGGTTCAATAAATGGTGATGGGCCCTGATGTAAATGACTTCCTCCACGAGAAATAGTCTTGTTCACTGTCTAAAATCCTTACAGTGTCAAGTGAAACAAAATGTCCAGATGACTCTATGTGGATGTCAATATGTTATTATTAGTAAAAAGTCAAAATTTAGGACCCTCTTGATTTAGTTCATCCTTCTCATGTCCTACCTGAACAGACAAGGGATGAGATGGGGTGGGAGGTTTAGGACCTGTGTCTCTATTTATTTTATATGACCCCATTTCGTCTGTCTTATATTTTTTTGGACTTTTTATATTTATTAAATTTAGGTATTATTCAATTTTTTATTACAAGCCGCGCTTTTATTTAAGTTTTATTTACTCGAGTTATGAAAACGTGTTTTATGCCTCCACCAACGGAGGAGTTGGATGTATTGGACGAATTGGATGTTTTAGGAAACCAGTATCAGCCTTGCCTGGCAGAGTTAGATATGCTTGAACCATTCTTCATTCACGGGAATACATAGGACATAATCACGTAATAGTTACAACCTAAAGTTAGAAATTGCAGGGTTCTCTCCACAAAATGTGGGATTTACCAAATACGGTAAATAACTGGTAAGTACGGTAATGGTTTGCTTTTGCCATTTGATGCTTTGAGACAGCAGTTGTTGGACATGCATCTGTCTTGTTTAGACAACCAACACAAACGTACCCATGGACATAATCCAATACGTAATAGCTAAAATAACATATTGAGTTTGATAATAAGGGCTTACTCATGTAAGGGACGTTTATAGTCTAAAACAACCATTACCAAATTCACCTGGCAGTTAGTGTCATCTGCTAAATTCCACCTAATTTTTCATACAGTAATGTACAGCATTTGTTAGTATTAAGAGATACCTACAAATGTATAGTGCTATCGTTCAAGGCCTATACCAAACGGGTGTGTTAGACAATTTAATGCAACATAATTCCGCTAGAGGCGTTACTGCAACATTAATCTTTCAAAATGTTTTATTGTCAGTATGGTATCAGTAACGTCCACATGCAAAGATAAATGCTGCACATTTGTCAAAAATTAAAAGATAAGGTGAAAATGGAAAATAGATGGAAATACCCGTAACTTATTTGCCGTAACGAGTGGCTTTTTTGTGATCTTTCTGAACATCATCGCAACATTCTATTATATCTATATCTTTTTTAGTACTTATGTCAGTATTTGGAAGGTGTGCTGCACGATATATTTTATTCGTTTATGAGAAGTAAATATTTGAATACGGTAAAGCAGAATTTAAGTTACACTTCATCAGTCAAAAATGCCACAGCTACAAAGCATTTTTACAGCCTCTTTAGGAACAACATCCAATACACAATGCTGCAATCTTATAGTTTGAGGAATTTAGACTCCTGTCATTAGATATTTGAATGTGTTTGAATTGAGTAAGAATTAACAGAGCAGACCATATGCGAAGGTAAACATTATGCATTTGCTTTGAAAATGATACCTTTCTTGTTAACTACGTTTTAAAATACTTTTTCTTTCATAAATTCTGACATGTCATGATACATACTGCATGTGACGTTATGGCTTATCAATACAACTTATACATGAATGTTTTTTCTGTGATGTCTGAATATTCTATAACGGCTTTCTTGTGTTGTTTCAGTCGGAGCGTGACCAAATACTGACAACAGTGCTTTGGGTTAGACTGGTAAGTTTGGACTTCTACTTTGATTTGAAACAACACGACATATGACATACTTTTGTCCGTACGTTTTGGTAGTAAATATTGTGATCCAAAGTTTCAATAATGGTAATAATAATTCAACACTGTAATGTCTCGTAGCGTACAGTATCAAGATTTTAAGATTAGGATTTCTGACCCGGATTCGAATCTGAACTTGTGCTTTAATTTTTCTCGATACCGCCGTACAAATGCAAATGTAATGTAAAATACTTTTTATATCTTAAATGTTTTTCCCTCTCAAGAGTTATAATACGATTAGATATGGCGTCAACCATTCAACGATATGGCATCGATCGTTTTAAATGGTAACGGCCATCTACAGAAACAAGATGGCGTCCTTGGGTCGATACTAACGACGCCAGGTGGCTGACTGTAAAATCAGCGTAGCTAATACACAGCTTAGAGACCAGGGAAAATCGTTGATGTACTAAGCTGAATCGATTAAACAATCATTTCAAGTAGAACCCAAATGGGACTAGTCATTGCAAGTTGTTATTTCAAGGTCTTTCTTTGATGATCCCCAGATGAATGTTAGACATCCAGGTAGTGAGATGCACAAGGAACCTGAGACACAGACGGGCGTTTAGATAGACGAAGAAATTGTTACACAGTTTTTGTTTAACAATCCATAATAGACTGTCTAAACTTGTGAACTGAACTGTATATTACTGATGTAAAAATTCTCTTCACATCATTTATATTAATGAATAAGTTTTGGATCAACCAGTTCAATCACCGATTCCGTTATAATCATGCACTGACGAAAAGTTGTGGATGATACTTAAAACGTTGCTAGCTACATGGACTACGGAGGATGGCACCCAGGCCAGAGCCTCGGAGGATGTGGTTTTTTTAGAACACGCGAGCGTCATAGCGAGCGCGGATGTCATCCATAAAATTGAACAAGTGTGACCTAAATGATAATAAGTGTCACCAATAGCGTTATACAGTAACAGATACAGAGTTTCCTCTACACTCCAGCTGTGGACAGACGAGTTCTTAACGTGGTTCCCAGAGGAACATGGCGGTCAGAGCGTCATCAGGATTCCGTGTAAGGACATCTGGCTTCCCGATATCTACTTGTACAACAAGTAAGGGAATTTTACTTTTAAGTAAAATTAATAAAAATTCATAAAACTGTTGATAGTGACAGACTATGGTAGTTCTTGTGTTGGCTGTGCCCTCCTGGTACGAAGGTTTTCTTTGAGTGTGCTTCTCTTCATCAAAAAAGTAAGTAAAAGTAAAAAAAAAACTATGAATGATTTTAACATACGTTTTAAAGAATGAACAGCTACATTTAAAAAATAGACAGAAAGTTGACATTAGAAATAATGTTTTACCACTCTGAACTGAAATTGTATGGCAACTGTCACTAATAAGTACTGTTGTGCTGAGTTAATTTGGGATCCACAATCAAAAGTGTGTTTTGTTCTCCAACCCAGCGCTGATGAGATCAGTACCGGAAAACTCGGTCACCTGACTGACGTGATCGTCCAATCAAACGGGCTGGTGGAGTGGCCTCAGCCCCTCACGGCCAAGACGTCATGTGACATCAACACCAGGTTCTTCCCGTTCGACCATCAACAGTGTGAGCTGCTGCTGGGGTCCTGGAGTTACGACGGCACCCAAATCAACTTCACTCATCTGTAAGTTACCCAAATCAACTTCACTCATCTGTAAGTCACCCAAATCAACTTCACTCATCTGTAAGTCACCCAAATCAACTTCACTCATCTGTAAGTTTATCTAAAAGAAATAGACACAATGTCACTGTCTATATGCAAATTAGATTCCCGTTTGAAGGCTCATGTATATGCAAATAAGTTTTCACTCAAATCAACTTCACTCATCTGTACGTTCTAACATGAGTGACTGATAGACACTTCAATGTCGCTGTATATATATAAATTAGCTTTACGTTATCACCCTAATCAACTTCATTCATCTGTGAGTTACCGAAATCAACTTCACCCATCTCTAAGTTCTAACATGGCTGATAGACTCATTGAAGTGACTTTCTTTGTGCGAATTAGCTTTCAGTTTGAAAGCTCATGAATATGTAAATATCCCAACAATATTCTAGGATAAGTCACCAAGTTTGGCCGTTTTAGCTCTAGCCGTTCAGACGCTACGTGACATAAAAGTTGGCGCGGGCACTTTTACCCCCCTTACCCCCCCCCGGTCTAGATAGGGTTAAACTAAGTCTAAGTGCAATATACTTAATGTACGGAGGGAAATTTTGGCATTTGGCTGCAACACATTTTTATGAATACACCATTTGATTGATTGATTAATTAATTGATTGATTATCTATAATTCTGTATCAGATTGAACAAAAGCTTTTGAATTTTTTCTCTGCAGGGTGCCTTATGGAGACACCCGTGATATCATTGAAAACGGAGAGTGGGAACTGTTGAGCATGTCTGTGTACAGGGAGCTGAACTACTACTCCTGCTGTAGTGAGCCGTACCCTAACGTACGCTACGTCATGCGTCTGCGCCGTAAAGCCGACTACTACATCTTCACCTACGTGTTGCCCTGCCTGTCATGCCTGGTCATCGTGCTGGGTGGGTTCTTCCTGCCCACGAACGCCGCCGTGCGGATTCAGTTGGAAGTGACTTCCCTGCTTGCGCTTACAGTGTACCTGCTGATGATACAAGAAAACATGCCGCCGTCCTCTGGGGATGTGTCGATTTTAGGCAAGTACAATATGGTGCTTTCTTTCTTTGGGGATGTTTTACAATTACGATATAGAAAGGCACTGCAGACATGTAAAAGTGCTAATTTCGGATTAGTCGACTACTCTGAACATTACCAACTCTACAAAGTAAACTCGACCAACTCCCCGGTCAACTCAACCCAATACCGGAGACATTACGCTAAGAATATCGATAAGAAATATTAATGTGGGTGAAATATTTTAGCATTCCCGACAATTGAATTAGGTTTATTAATAGGATTTAATTATGATGCACTACTTTTCGTGTAATATTTACATCTATTTACCTTCTTTAGGTGAATTCTACACTGGGTCTATAATCATAGTAGGGATGGCAACTCTCGCGACAGTATGCGTGATCAGAATTCACGAGAGTGACGAAGAAGTCCCCAATTGGCTGAGAAGACTCCTGGAGTCCCCCTTGCTGACCATGGTGGTAGTGCAGTCCACGGGGCAGAAGGAACAGGCCACGCCTACCAAAGTGCCGCCCACTTGTGAGAACAGTCACAAATCTGCCAGCGAGGACAGCGTGAACGCTCACACGAATGGTCACGTGATCTCCGGCGATGGTCTCGCGTTACGCTGCGAGAACGGCTCGGCGAAGGGAGACTGTCAAAATGGCGACTGTCAAAATGGCGACTGCCAAACTCCAGACGACCCCGGCCTAGACATCCCCGACTCTTGCAGCACTGCTACTCCACAATCTGACGACAACTACTCCGACAAGGGACAAAAGAAGGACGACAAACTAGCGAATGTGCTCTCTTTGCTGGAGGCCCATCTAGAGGCTAAGAAAACTAACCGTGTCCGAAGAAAGCTGTGGCACAAGACTGCAATATGGATGAACCGGATTCTGTGGCTGTGCCTCCTCATCTCCAGTATCTCCTCTTCCATCGCCATCTTCTACCCGGCTGTTAAACAGTACAACCGCTAATCGAGCTCAATGAAGCAAAATTTACTATGCTCTATATCATTGCCTTGGGATGATTTTTAGCTTTGTTAAAACATCGATGGATTGCTTTTGCCCTTCAATATCCGATGAACATTTTTCACGCCTCACAGTTGCATATTCCATTACGTACGTATCAAGATTATATCTATCATTATCGGCGCATCGGATTTAAATGGAAAAAAATGAAGGTAATCATAGTTAAAAAAGAAATGCATGTACAGTTTGATTTCAAGATGAGGGAACGATGCGCATTTGGACTTAAGCTTCTTCTATCTAGTAAGTGTATTAAACGGGTCTCGTTTAATACAGAATTAAAGAGGGGCACAACGAGAGAAATGCGACGTATTCAACATGCGGTACCTTTTAAAACACAGAAACTGGATGGGAAGAAGGCGATTAACAGCGGTAACTGCTGGTTACTGCAATAAAACTGAGTCAAGATAATATAGATACATTGTACGGAAAGGTAAAGAATGAATATTCATATTATACAATTGTGCAACATATTCGTTAAATTGTAGATCACCGCTGAATACGTGATTTATATCAGAGGTCGGCGAAAGGAACTTGAAACATACAAATGTATTTACTGTATCACACAGGCACTGCACATGTGTTTCGTAAACTATACAATGGTATGCGCAGTTTTCTGCGCATGTGCAGACATGATGCATTGTGGTATAGGCCAAAGGTCAAGATCCCTCGTAGACAATTTTTATCACCTAGACCATTTTGCAACGCCATGTCACCTTAAAACCCTGTTAAGAATCTTTCTCCAAACGCCAGCAGACCAAGGTTGTTTGAAACATTTTGAAACATTCGGATTGCGCAGCCAAACAGTAGGCGACCTGGCCAACACCAGCCGACAGCAGTTAACCTTTTCCTAACGTTTCAAGGGGGACCTCGGCAACTGGTAAACCATATGTGTGACAAAGTCTTACACTAGACAATGTTAATTTTTCCTGTGGAATGACTCATTGCTATCGTTCAATGGTCATCATGGACGTTTTGCCTTCGCAGGTACAGTCTATATGATGACGGGAGGTCTGATAATGAAAAAAGTAACCCTTCTACATATATGTGTACATATACGTCATATGATACTGTGGTGTACAATGTACTCTTACGATTCTAACCAAGAAGTAAACAAGAGTACCAATGCACGAAATATATAAACGACTTAAAGCATTACGCAAGTGCTTCTCATAATTAGTTCATGTCCCTCAATGTAAATGACTGTATACGCCCGTAAAAGTGCTATTGAATTCACTTGACATGTAATGGTGTTACAGTAATGCCACACGTATGTCAATATATACACGTTTAATGGGGGTGAAAAAGAATAGGGATATTTCTTGTACGCTCCTTGTATAGCTCTGTTTATAAGTACAAAGTTCAGCAGGCCTGATCAGACGTTCAATTCTCCTTACGCAAAGCCTAGGTACGTCTTTCATACTTTATTAAGTAGATATCATGACCAATAAAACAGACAACGTTCTTGCGTTTACCGTATGCATAAACTAGCAAATGATTCAAAACTGTTGATGTCTATTTTTGTTGTACTTCCGGTAGTGGTAGATGTTTTGAAATGAACTTCTCAAAGCTCTAACGTGCCCTCTAAACAGAGCACAAAACAAAATGGCGCCCAAGCCTCGTTTTGGGCCAACATCACGAACTGTCTTCCTTGGACTGTGGTCTCATGACGTCATAAGCCGAAATGACGCTAGTATCTGAAAATGAATATATTGTCATTATGATGGAAGTCATTTGTATGCACCATGATGCGTGTTTTCTGGGCTTTTGGTACGAAGTGATGTTTCTACAAAAAATGGAATGGGCTATACAGCGGCAAGACATTTAATGCCGGCACACAGTTAGGTTTCTGAAATATTCTTATATTGCTAATAACCGCCTTTCTGTGTACATGTGCGTCTGAAAACCGCGATTACTTGTATCATATGGGGTATAGAATTGGTGTTATTGACTACAAAATATGCTAAAAGTCAACACATCACTGTAAGTCCAATCCGGTAAGGACACTGCATGTAAGTCTGGTGGGTACAATCTTGCACAATCTTGCAGTAGTTGAATGAACACAAAATCGCTTACCTGTGTATATTTTAAAGTAATACTGTGAATATTAAATTTATATTTACCGATGGAATGGAGTCCTGTGTGTGTTTTTATCGTAGCAGTCGCTTTTTTCATGGTTGTTATTGTTGTCTTTTGTAAAAACCTTTTTTTAGTTGCTGGGAGGTATATATTGGTTGTTCTGTGAGCTGGGTATATACTTGTCTTGTTGGTTGACAGTACGTGGGTTTTGGAAGATGGACAGCAGAATGACAGAATTTTATTAAGTCAGACTCAAGAAAATTGGTCATCTTGAAGGTGCAAGGTTCACTCCGGGAGCCAGAAGGAATTAAAGGTCGATTAAGGGGGGGGGGGGGGGTCAAGAAACCGGGGATTGCACCAGCGGCTGTCCAGCCCTACGGTTTTTGCCCTAGTATACTGCAATGTAACGTTTAAATTTTGTTTAAATTGGTAAACTAATCAATCAATATTAAGCTAATCTGTTTCTGCCTTAGTTTCTAGCTACTTGACAATCTGGAATATTTATGTGTTTATGCGGCTTTGGGGATAAATTCAATCTGCTGGAAAAGCCACAGTGGGGAGTACTTGTTAATGGCTGGACCATGGGTACACATCCGTCATTCTTAATGCGATTTTCTTCAGTAAATCAGGTGAAATATTTTTTCCACAAGCAAATACGTGTTTACATTCTTGACACATCATTTGTTGGACCATTTTTTGCCAAAACTCATAAAACCCCAAAAAAAAGGAAATCCCTTCCTATCGATACTTTTTTTTCAAAATTGAAACCAGAAACATCACATTAAGGTTTTTAGGCCTTACGTCTTGTAAAGATGCCAACTGCAGATCTTGTCACAAGAGAGATAGTTAGACTAGTCCTCCTAGGAATTATACATGCAGGAAAGCGAATACCAAACCGCTCGTGCTCTCGGCACATAAAGGGATTTTAAATTCTAACCGCCCCTTTTTTAATTGATTCTGACCTTCAGCGCTTGTCTTTTAGAATATATGTGAATAAAGATATTTATAATCATTTATGACAAGGAGGGCAGGAAAAATATATATATATAATATTCTATATAAATATAAAATTGGCATTTAATGTTTTTTTTCTATTTCCCATTCTGCAGTATACGTCATTTTCAAACACATTCTTTTTCTGCAATATATACTATACTAGTATACGCCATTTGGAATATCTTTGCAGCTGGATTTACTTCAGACCACTGCTGTATTACCTCTGTGACAAATGCCTGATAAGTTAGATGATAAGTTACAAGATTACTTTGAAACAATTTTAAGTTAACCGCAAAATGTAATCATAATATGATCAATGACACGACATTGAGAATGGTGCACTTATGATGGCAAAAGTAATTAAAAATCCAAGCACAACTGAATACGTAATTAGAGTATTAACAAAAAACTTTTGACATAAGCAATTTTCTCTTCAAGTTTTGCCAATTACGTAATTGGTGACCGGACGCTTTCCATGCATCCTTAATGTAATTAAGACCCAGCTCAACTGATGCTAGAATATTGATTCTTCCTAAAAGATTGATCAATCACCCAATCAGTTATGTAAAAAAGGAAATATTCAATAACTTTTATTAGTAGTATCCTGATAATGTAATATGCTGTTAATGGATAGGTATGGGAATGAAATAATATCAGTTTACTCAAAATTACCCTTTGCGATAAGATCAGGGGGTTGCAATAAACGAATGTATCGGAATTTCTAATGCATAACAGTATGGCTATTTACCTATGCACACTGCAATGAGGCCTCTTTTGTGCGTCTACGTTGTTAATTTTTTTTTTGGTTTGGGGGGGGGGGTACTGATCGGTGAAAATTTCTGCAGGGTTCAGAGTTATGCCGCTGTGGGAGTGGATGTGAGTCTTGAAGTTGTCGTGAAGATTCTTTTAGGTAATATGTTTGCTTGAGTTTTCTGCTGCCGTTCGAATTACCTCAACTTGTTGACTCAGAAAACTCAAATTGTGACCCTAGACCTAGTTTCCTATAGACTTGGGGTCAAAGGTCATTGACATGGCTACCTGAAGGCATCTTGTTTCAGGTGCATAAATTATGATAATGAGCAGAAATTATCCACACCTAATTATGTCAAATCGTCCCTTATAGATTAATGAAACTCCATATTCTTTAAAATCACAAAATACATTCACAAAAAGCTATATTTGTGCAAATTATTTTAGTGTTTTGACCCCATACGGTAAGATTCGTCGCAAAAAACCTACCGTGGTTTGAGGGTTAATACAGTAAAGATTATAGTATGCTCCCTGACAAACCACTGGAAACCTGTCTTTACGTAAGACAGGCCCCATCTTAATAATGTAATTTTGTCTTATGGGATTAGCCACCAATGTAATGAGACGTATTTTCTTCCGCTTTCGTTGATTAGAATAATGTTTATCGACCACATAGCAGCGGCATCGACAACATTAGAGCCTTATCTGATGTTAAAACAATATAAATAACACCAGAGAATCGTGTCTTTCTCCTAAAGATTTGACGAATTTCTGGGAGCAACTTTGCGGTAAGTCAATTCTCTTTACTTTATGTATTATACAAAGCTTCTAGGTGCAAATTACCTCCAATGGTGACTCATTAATTTGTAATAAATGTGTTGTGTGACGTGGAAATATGCAAATCTGTGTTGCCCGTGTTCTTTAATTTTGTACATAAAAATGTGCTAAACACAGGAGATTCTAACTAAGTTTCCTACGTTACTACCGGTCTTCTACTTTCTATGTATGTCACAATTCAGATAACCTAACACACTTTAAATCACCGTCTTGTCTGCTGAACCATTATTCATGTTACTATCGTCGCCATTTTAATGGTCGCTCTCTATAAACAGCTGAAAAAAGCTTTAAACGGTAATGATAACATTGTCATCAACACTGCACTATCAGTATCATTTTTGTCTCTTCTAAAATCCAATATCAGACTAGACTAGCCTCCGGGCCAACTTTAATGCTTATACGCTGCAATTCCAAATGAATCAAGTGTGGACGATAGATTCCGAGAACGTCCTGTGCACAGTAGATAACCATTCAGTCCTAAAGTTATGGACCTTCAACGGTATGGGGCTTTGTTTATATGTCACATTTCGAGATAACACACTTTAAATCACCG